AGGTGTTCACTGAATTGTGATTTGTTGAGAATCAGCAGTCCATTTGCAAACTTTAAATAGCAGAGACAAAAACAATCTTTAGTATTCCTGAGTATGATATTTGTGTTATAACTACTGTCTACATTTGTTTGTCTATTATCACCACACCACTGCTGAAAGGGGCTTATACAATCAAAGCATAAATGCATAAATGATGTTACCAAAACTAAAAAATGTTCAATCTCAGCATTCAGATAAATTTATTTTTCTGAGATTACTCAGTTTGATTTCAGTTAATAATTGGGAGAACTGTCTAAATTATTGAGTCTGCCAGGATCATCAGAACAGGGGTGCATCATATCCTGCTATTTGGGTGACAACATCCATTGTCACGAAGAGGGTATGATGTATGTGAGTTCAGTTAATAAAAAAGCAAATATTATATTATTATTCTATGATGTAAATGAACGGATGGGAGCAGTGTGAGGTCTTTAATGGCCCTAAGCAAAATGATTTAAAGAACTCCATAAATAATGGATATCTATCCACACCTATACACTACTTTCCTTATACATTAGTTGTTAGTTTCTGCATAATCAACTTACTCTGTGAGGATGTCTTTCTTGCAGAGGCGGCTCTCTAATTAGGTGGTTTAGGTGGCCGCCTAAGGCCTCACGCTGGCTGGGGCCTCGTGGCCGCCTACCCAACTAAGGGCAGACTGTGTCAGGTCCTCGGTCAGTGACTGAGAACCCGATCCCAGGAGGGGGCCCCGGTGGCTTGCTCATTATGCCGCCGGGTGTGAGGCCCCTCCTATCTGACCGGCCAGCCATCACAGACACTGGTCTGCATCTCTGCAGAGCTGCAGAACATGTGTCTTGCGAGAACTGGCCAATCAGATAGTTGCCGCGGGTTACCACAGCAATGCTCTGATTGGATCTTGCGAGATACATGGTCACTGAATCTATGTAATGACCACCGGATCACCAGGGAGCCCACACTGCACCACCAGGGAATAAAGGTATTTAGTACTTCCCCTCTCCACATCAGACCCCACTCCCCCTCACCATCACCCCCTCTCCCTCTCACCATCACCCCCCTCTCCCTCTTATCATCACCGACCTCTCCTTCTCATCTTCATTCCCCCTCCCTCTCACCATCAACGCCCTCTTCCTCTCACCACCAGCCCCCCTCACCACCACCCCCTCCCTCTCACATCACCCTACCTCCCTCTCACATTACCCCCCTCCCTCACATCATACCCCTCCCTCATACATTCACCCCCTCTTCCTCCCATCTCACCCCCCTCCCTCTCACCATCACCCCCTCTCCCTCTCACCATCACCCCCCTCTCCCTCTCATCATCACCAACCTCTCCCTCTCATATTCATTCCCCTTACTTCTCACCATCAATGCCCACTCCTTATCACCATCAGCTCCCCTCTCCCTCTGACCATCACCCCCCTCTCACCATCACCCCCTCCCTACCTCTCACCATGACCCCTCCCTCCATAATCACCGCCTCCTTCCCACTATCACCCTTCTTCCCTCACACTTTCACCCCCTTACACACACAGTATCACCCCCTCACACTGTGAGCTCCCCACACATTGTCACCCCTCCCTACACTGCCATCACCCCCACACTGTCAGCCTCTTCATGCATCCACACTCACATTAACCACTCCTAATCCTGGTAATCCCACCCCCTCCAAACTCACCTCCACTCGCCCTGTCACACTCCCTCATCAAGCCATGTCATACTCCCTGTCCTTCATTCTCTCCCACAACACCCCTCCCCCCCCCGTGTTCATTTACTCCCTTCACCCTGTCAGGCTCTCCCTGCCACTGGTACCCCTTTACTCACCTTGTCACAGTCACCAGCTGAAGACATTCATCATACTCACACAGTCAGGAAACATAGCTTTGCTATAACACAATGCAAAAAGGTCACAGGCAGACCCCCCATACACACAACACACTTCCAGCAGCTACCCCATACACATATGGTCCCAGATAAAAACGCAAACATGCTCACAGAGACATACATTCACACACACAAGGATACTCTCTGTCAGACACACTCTCATAGGTAAACATACATAGGTAAACTGTGCATCAATGTGTATATGTGACAGTGTGCATGTATTGCTACTCTATTTTTTTCACTTTTCTGTTAGTTGGGCCTCATGTTTGAGTTTCACCTAAGGCCTCATAAAGTCTAGAGCCGCCTCTGCTTTCTTGATTGTCATTCACAGCATCATTTGCCCTATTATTTACGTTCAGATCTTTGCATGTTGTAAGCTCAGCATGGTTACATGGATTTAGCTAATATCCCATCTGTGGGACCTCTGTAACAGCAACTGCTGCACTTTACACATCCCTACTCATTATGTAGTAGATGAAACCAAAAAACAAACAAAGTGGACCCAATGTTAATCATTGAACGTCTAGTAGAAATCTCTGCCCTCCCAATAAAAATATCAAATTTTTAAAGTTAATTAATCCCTCCACACCTCTGAACAGGTATTATGGAGATCGCTGGAATATTTAAGAATTACCAGATTTTACTAATTACATGACGTAAAGTCATGATTTTATAAAGGACACAGAGGCGAATATTATGCTTATCTCTTTCTTTATTATACCTCAGCAGCAAAGAGAAGGTATAAACATTGATAAAAAAAAAAAAGAAAAAAAAAAAAAGGTTTTAACAGGTTCTCCAAGGGTTAACCTAACATCATACCCTTAACCAATAGGAACAGTCCTTCTATCTATAACTACCCATGTGACCTTTCCTCTCCCTCTTTCTTTGGTCATGCCGAAGCTGTATCTTTATAACTTGAGAAGACACTGGAACGCTTTATCTGTTGTGTCGAACTTTCCCATATCCCGAACTTGTAGGAACTTGTCTGCGTGAACTGCGGTGACAACTGGTCATCCAGGGTGTCGCTGATTGTGAATTAAGCTGTAATGGGACAGAGAAAAAAGTGGTAAAATATGGTCTGAGGAACTGTTTGTCACAATGGTAGTGACTAAATCTTAGTATATGCATTAGGTACTACAGACTCAGTATCGAAAAGAAAATTATCGTCCTAAATAATCGACTTAATTTGATACAAAAGAAGACACCACAACGACCCTTATTCTATTGTTTATTGGGTGGGAGTTTCACTCTTCTTCGCCGATATAGGCCTGATATACTTACGGGGTGGGCCAATATTCGGCTCCGTGTCCTTTATAAAATCATGACTTTACGTCATGTAATTAGTAAAATCTGGTAATTTTATTAAAGGACACGGAGGCTCATATTATGCTAGTTTAAAGCTGTGCAATGACTGTTGATGATACGTGGTCTGTAGGGTGAAAATAATATTCCTTAAAGGTGGATTCGTGAGACCAATCTGCCGTCCGTAACAAGTCTTCCAGCCTGCATCCCAAGTTGAATAGTTTAGATGCCATAGCTCCTCTAGTGGAGTGCGCCCCGTATACTGAGGTATCTATGTTTGCAGAGGTCATTATCCACTTCACCCATCGGGCTATCGTTATTGAAGATACTGGCTGGTGTGGTGAATTGACGGCCAGAAATAGTTCATGCTGTCCAGAGTTTCGAAATGCCTGTGTCCGTATTTCATACTCCTTGAGGCAGGCTATTGGGCACAGGTTTTTGTTGTGCGGGAATGCTGGATATGACACTGATGCTGTTGCTGATTTAGTACGTCTGGAAATGTTGAAAGTTACTCCCGTTGGAGTGAACGTACGTGCGTCGACGTCCAATGCCCGGACATCCGAGACTCTTTTACAGGATATTAGGCATAAGAGCATGGCCAGTTTCGCTTATAGTTGTTTCAGCGTGAGGTCAGAATTCTGTGGCCATTGTTCCAAAAGATTTAAGACCAAATTCACGTCCCATACTGTACTATACCGGGGTCGTGGTGCTCTTGCCAATCGAATTCCGCGTAGGAGCCTGCATACCAACAGATGTTTACCCACTGGGAGTCCTTCAATACCCTTGTGTCCAGCGGATATCGGTGACCTGTATACATTGATGGTTCGGTACGCAAGTCCTTGGTCGTATAGGTGTGTAATAAAACGCAACAGGTGATTTACAGGAGCACATACGGGATCCACGTGTTGTTCCATGCACCAACCACTCCAGATGTTCCAAGCGTTAGAGTAGGATCGTCGTGTTCCAGGAGCCCAGGCTCCCGCCAGAAGGTCGAGAGTTGTTTGCGGAACGTTTGGCACGACCCAGGGTCCCCGGAAAGGAGCCACGCTAACAACCTGAGTTGTCCCTGCACCATCAGAGGGTGTGGGTTCCCATCTGGGTCTGAAAGGAGACGTGGGTTCTCGGGCAGCATTCTGTACCTGCCAGCCCCTTCAAAAACCTTCGGGGAGAACACCCGTTTCAGGTTTGTCTGTGCCTTATCCAGGGCCGTAAATGTGCTCACGTAGTTGCCCAGTTCTTTTACAAAATTGTCTCTGAAAAGAAGGCCTTTTGCCTGAGGTCCAGGCTCGGTTATGGCCATGTTGACCAGTTTAGGGTCTATCTTCATGAGAATTGCCTTCCGCCTCTCAGTACTAAGTGCGGCATTGGAGTTGCCGATGAGGCAGATAGAACGTTGCGCCCACTCCCGGATCACTAAGGGATCCAGCGGTGCGCCACCTGAGATTGTCGCTTCGACCAAGTCGAAGATTTTTGCGCTGGGGCCCAAGGAGTCCAGCACCTTATCCTGGCAGTGGCGAAGGGAGTAGTCTAGCCCTTTTTTGGCTTTCCAGCCAGCCTTACCCAGGAACTGGGCAATCTTGGGGTCCACCTCTGGTGTGGCGCACGCCATATCGGGGACCGTTGGGCGTGGGCACGCTGCCCTTAACTTATTCCTGGTTGTTTTATCCATGGGCTTCCTGATCCTGGCCGCTATATACTGGGCCACATGGTCCGCTGGGAACCAGTCTGTAGACCTAGGGTGTTGTAGGTCGTCTGGGTTAAATAGAGGCTCGCCCTGGGGGTCTAGGATGATGGAGTCATCCGTGAGCGCTTTTCCCATAGTCGGTGTGACTGCCCGGCTGCGCTCAGGGGAAGAGTTTCCTGATTCCAAAGAGCCGATATCCTCGGACTCACTCATTACCTCCCTATGTCCGAACCAGAGTCGGATGTCTCTGTTTGGGCTTTTGCCCATTTCCACGTCCTCACCGTTTTTGCCCGGTGGGTGGCTCTTTTGCATGGGGGCCCCACGTCCTCAGTAGTGACAGGGCGTGTCCTGTCCGTCGTGCTGGTTTTGGAGGTGTGTTTGCCCGTATGGTGGGTCTTCTCCGTAGCCTTACGGCCGCTGAGGGGCGCAGGCTTGTCAGGTTGGGCTTTGGGGCGGAGGCCGCTAGGGTTGGTGTTAGACGCCAGTATGGCGTTACTAATGGACTGTGTCAGGGTTTCAGACATCGCCCCCATAGCCGTGACTATGGCTTGGGTGACCGATTTGGTCATGGTTGCATCCAGAAGCGAGTGAAACTCCTCCGAGTTCAACTGATCCATGGATGCCACGTCCTCTCCCAGTGGCGAGCATGGACGTGTTACCTGGGGCACATGGGGAATGGTGCTCTTATTGGCATCAGTGGGTGTGGAAACCCCTTGGTCCCTGAGGTGCTGCATTATAGGCAGGTTATGCACAAAAAACACCTGGGACGTGGAACTAGGAAAACAAATATGGCAGGGTATACTGAGTGACACAGTGAATTTTTGCCCCAGACTGTAACAAGTGTTGTAAGAAAAAATTGTAAGAAAAATTGTCCCTGGTAACCCTATGCAGGGAGTAAACAGTAGTATTAACTGGGCAGTGAGCACTGCTAATTATGCAAAAGGGGATTCAGGCACACACAAAGGCTGTCAGCTTACCGAGTGTTCCCTCCGGAATGGCCGCCAGGGAGCACTGGCAAGCTGTCAGCCAAGGGGTGAATGCTCGCCCTCTGGTACAGGGGGCGGGCGGAGAAGAAAGCGCGGCAAAAACCAGAACGGCTGCTGGCAAATGGCCGCCGAGCCGTGCGGCCATTACTGCGCGTGCGCGAGCGGTCTCTGGATTCGGATCACTCGCGCCGTGAACGGCCGCCGCGACTCGCCGAGAAGAGAAGTGGAACGGGTAATAAACTACCCGGGGAGGTGAGGGAGGGGGGTTAACCGCCAGAGGGGGGGGGGAAACCCCAGGGAAGCCGGCTATCTGCACCAGGGGCAGACAGGCGCCGGTCTATACAGCAGGGGGATTAACACAAATCACATCAATGAAATACCTGCAAATAACAAACATGACATAAAAAACAAATATGATTTAACCAGCTAAATAGGTTGCTCTGAGGAGAGCTAAAATGAGATGGTACTTAGCTGAGGCAGCAGCAAAGAAAGAGGGAGAGGAAAGGTCACATGGGTAGTTATAGATAGAAGGACTGTTCCTATTGGTTAAGGGTATGATGTTAGGTTAACCCTTGGAGAACCTGTTAAAACCTTTTTTTTTTTTCTATGAATGTTTATACCTTCTCTTTGCTGCTGAGGTATAATAAAGAAAGAGATAAGCATAATATGAGCCTCCGTGTCCTTTAATAAAATTGTTAAACTTTCACCATAAAGTTTACTGATAATAGTAATAACAGCAATAATATACAACGTGAAATATCTATGTGGGTACAGCACTAGTGCTACTAGTTACTTATATGACGCAACACATGGCTAGCTCCTTTTTTCTTCTAAATGCATTGCCAAAAGGAAACGTTTGGGAAAATTTACATTGTTAGCTGTAGATATGTGGGAAGGAATAGGCTATATATCTAGTATCCTTAGTTTGAACCGACTGTTCTACACAGTTGGGTTGAGGCATCCTACACAACAACAGATGGACCCTTATTTAACACAACTGAGCTACCATACATTGTACAAAGTAAAATGTCAAACAAATAATTTTATTCTGTTATAGAGTTGTAACATGGGATTTAAATAACATTAAACCAAAAACAGTGTTAAATGTTAAGATTTTTTTTGGTGATTAGCTTTTGATATGCTAATACTAGAGGGAATAAGACAGCCTGGGTATCCATGGTCGGGATAAATTGGGTAGTGTTGGGTTTAATATGCCCTCTTGCTGAAGTATGGTAATACAAGGGAGGCATCTTTGTAAACTTTTATTGTGGGAGGTAAGAGGAATATTATTGGAAGAAGAGTGATAGTTACACTGTAATGTAGGAGGAAGTCATGGCACAGTGATATTGATACAGAGGAAGCAGGCCCGGAATTTTCATTAGGCAGGGTAATTACGTGCCTACAGGCTCATGTCGTGTAGGGGGCGCCTATTTACAGCACTTATAATGTATATTTTTGAGCTTAAGTGGGATGGTAAACACCAGGGGTTTTAGTCTGTGTCCTATGTCCTCCAGTCAACCTCCTACGCTTGTTTGATGAGCTGCAGGAACAGTTATAGAGGGTGTAAAATGAAGTGCTGTCCTGGCTCCTCCAGTGTTTGTGTGTGAGGCTGGACAGGAAGTGGAAGGGATCACTTCTATTCTGCCCACTAACAGCCTCTCACAGGAAATACCCTGCTGGAGGAGCAGTTTAAAGCACACTGGACATAGGACAGCAATGAGTGATGCAAACTGTATAACTACTTATGTAGCTCTACTATCAGTCATAGGAGGCTGACTGGACTACTGGTAACAGGAGGGTGAGTAGTTTGCAAATAATTCTTCAAACCCCACATGCCCTAAACACCCCTTTTATCTAACTCTACATCTAATCCCTACCAATACCTAAACAAACCCTTTTCTCAGTCCCAAATGTAAGCACATAGAGAAAAAAAAATTTACTTTACTCATAGGTTTAACTCTTCTTAAAAATAAACAAAACATTGCATGTGCCCCAGTACTAAATTTAATTTAAATCTGAACCTTAAGCATTAATCCTAAACACCCCTTATACCACAATTGTAACCACCTCCAATTTTTAATCCTATTAACAATAAACACCCTGCATAATCTAACCAATCTCAAACCTTACACCGCCATTATCCTAACCATTTTGACATTATCCGTAATCTTTCATTCATTTACACAGCTGCACACATTCCCTATACTCACAGATTCCCACCCCATACATTACGAGCAGAAATATGCACACAGTTATTCAGTTTTCAGATCTGAAAGTGTTTTTAGTAATTTCATGCCTGCAATGTCCAGTTAATAAATTCACTAACGAGCAGGGGCCTCCTGAGAGGAAGAAATGTATTTGTGAATATGTTTATAGTGATTGATTTTACATCTACAGGCATGTTCAGATCCTCCATTCTTAGACTATGTAAAAAGAGAATGTCAAATCAAATATTTCTAAGCTATTAAACATTAATTGTCTCAAGTGGAAAATATCAGTGTTGGTAACACCATGTAGCTAGTTTATTAAAGCTGTGTCAAAGCAGACTAATATTGAGGATGGATGGCAACTTTTGGCCTTGGGGACAAGTATAAGTCAAACTCTGCTCTCAATCACATGCTGATCCTAGAGCAATATTTGATTGGTGCAAAGTGCAGATTTGCCATGCATTCTCAGTAGCTTTCCAATGCTTCTATGGGGAAATATTGTAATGGCTGAAGTCATCAATCTTTATGATCTCAGTCAGGGAGGTGGAGTGGCTGTGGTGAGGACAGTGCGGCAAGGGTCTAAACATAAGTAAAACTCACCTTTCAAACCTTAAAAGGGGGGTGGGGGGCGTAGGTGAGGGGACACTATAGCATTAAGAGTACATGTTTGCATTCCAAACATGATAGTGTTCCTTTAATGACACGTGTGTATGTACACACACACACACACACACACACACACATATAAAATACAAGATTCAGTGCACTCACTCATTCACTAAACAGCAATTTCAAGGCTCACAAAATGTAATAGTAAAACACTTCACCTAAACAAAAATAATGGGGGTTTAGTTACATGATCATATATTGCATAAGCCTGCCACAACACCAATGTACCCCTTTCTTGGCATGTCCTACTCTAGCAACCTAATGCCTGCCCTTATGAGATTAATCCACTTACTTTGGAAATGCTTCCTCCTGGGACTCTCTGAAGAGCAAAATTAAATATGGCCCTGGAATGAGGCATCTGTGACAGTGAGGGGAGCAAAACCAGGGAATTGACCAGGAAACCCAAATATATAAATGAAAACTAGAGGGTGGCACTCATCCAATCATACATTCTTGCAAAGGTGCTGCTGGGGCCAATTCATACAACATACAAGGTCCAGTTCATTCTTTCACCAAAAATCAATTTCAAGGCTCACAGAATGTAATAGAATGTAATAGTTTTATTTGGAAAAAAACTCACCTATAAAAATTTAGGGAATTTGGTGGCCAAGGCAACACCTTGAACTCTTTGTCATGTTCCTCAAACCATTCATGAACAGATTTTGTAGTGTGGCAGGGTACATAATCCTATTGAAAGAGGCCACTGCCATCAGAGAACAACATTGCCATAAAGGGGTGTATATGGTCTGCAACAATACCTAAATAGATTGCACATGTCAAAATAATTTCCACATGAATGCCAAGACCCAAGCTTTCCAAGGAAAACATTACCCAGGGCATAGCACTGCTTCCACCGGACATGGTCATCATGGACACTATGATTGGTCTGCAGCTACACAGCCCCTTTCTATCATGACCAACATTACGTTTTTGAGCAACTTGAGCTACAGTAGCTCTTCTGCTCCCTATGTGTATCAATTAGCCTTAGGCACCCATGACCCTGATGCCAGTTTACAGATTGTCTTTCCTTGCACCACTTTTGGTAGGTATGTAGCACTGCAAACTGGGAATACCCCAGAAGACTTATCACTTTGGAGATGCCATACGCAGTCATCTAGCTTTCACTATTTTGCTCTTTTCAAAGTCACTCAGACTTTTTGCATGCCCATTTTTTTCTGCTTCCAACACATGAAATTCACAAAAGACTTTTTGCGTTCCCATTTTTTCTGCATCCAACACATGAAATTCAAGAACTGACCATTAATTTGTTGCCTGATATATATCTCACCCCTTTACAGGTGCCATTGTAATGATATAATCAATGTTATTTATTATTTATTTATTTTATTTATAAAATATTTTACCAGGAAAGATACATTGAGATTTCTCTCGTTTTCAAGTATGTCCTGGGTCCACAAATCATTGCATTGTTACATTAGGTACAACAAAATACAAAAACAATATTAATACACAATATATACAAAATTTAACATAGAACAGGCAGGAAATATATAATCAACCATGACACGTGCATTCTATTTTGAGGTATGTACAGAGGGATCTCTTAAATGACTTTAGGCTTAGGGAAGATTTTAAATTCTGCGGGAGGTCGTTCCACAATTGCGGTGCTCTGTAGGAGAAGGAGGATCGGGCCGCTTTCTTTTTGTATTGAGGTAGACTAAGTAAAGTGCTTGTACTGGATTGGAGCTTATAGAAAGTGGGAACAGCTGGGGAAAGCATTTTGTTCAGGTAGGGTGGGAGTTTCCCCGAAAAGCTTTTAAAAACAAGGCTGGAAAGATGAAGGGTGCGTCGGGATTCCAGCGACAGCCAGTTTAGTTCCTTTAGCATGTCACAATGATGGGTCCTGTAATT